TTATATGTTGTTCGCTGTTTATTTTAATCCCTTTATTCATTATTTGGACATTCTCACGATGTTTTATTTGATCCTGAATAGGCCTCGACGCAGCTTCACCGTTTTTAATGACGCAAATTGACTGTATGTTTGATGGCATTCAGCCTTTGAAATTACAATTTGAGGTTCGTATATTATATTAATTATTCTACAAATGATTTAGTACCTTAATTTAGACACATGCCTGTTGTTAGGATGGATAGTTTCTATGACTTCCAAAAGACTGTGGAATGTGATAGATACATAAATTTGTTGTATGTGAAATGACATGCAGTAGTTACTACTATAGTGTGTGGAACGTATTCATAGAAGGAGTAGTTTTTGACAAATGTTTGAACTACTGGGCATTGATGAGTAATGGATACTATGAAAAATGTACTGGAATTTTCGGAGGATTACCGAGTTCAACCCCTCTTTTAACACTTATCTACAATTATTTAGACATTATTGAGGCAATTTAGGCGTTCTTTATCCACCTCAGTATCCTTCTTTCCATTTGTCCCAGACCCTTGCCTTTTCACCTATTATGATAGCATCCATCGTGTATTTTCCTACGCCATCATCGTTTTGTGATGAAGCATATTTGCCACTGTTCTATCACGCAGATATATATGGGCAAAATACTTGTACCATATATCAGAATCACAGTTTGCATATGTCTTTGGCATTGTACTACCTTGCCTCCCGTATTGTGTTTCTTTGTCATCCTTTCATGTTTCCCATGTTGCTTCACAAGCATTATTTATTAAATCCATCTCTTCGCATTCGATATTCTTTCAGTTAATATTCATATTTATATCTTTATATATGTACTACTTATAAACCTTGTCAGTAGTACACTCCCCCCTCGCACTCCCGTCAAATAATTTCGAGAGGAGCCACTCTGACATTTTTGGTGCTGCTCACTCCTATTTTGTCTTGTTATTGACTTGCTTATCCCACTACATCCATCTCTCGACTTGGCGAGTGATAGTTAACACGTTTCTGTTCGGCTCCTCTTCTGATTCTACAAATGGGACAGCTTCTGTCAGTGACAGTGTATGGTTCCTTCCATTTGGAAGGAGTTTACGTGAACCTGGCTTGTCCCCAACATTATACTTTCTTTCCCTATATTTCCCCTGATCTTCAACCTCCAACGTTTTGCATATGTTCAGTTCAGATTTTGTCGCGACTATCTTCTGTTCATGCTTAACATTCGTGACTGCTTCTTTCCGTTCCGTTTGTGGTCTCGTAATACTCCACTGTTGGTGAAGGGGCCAGGTCTTGTTGAGTACTGGTGGTCACGGATTCCTGTCATGCATCAAGTGAAGAGATGTCTACTTTGCTGTTTCTTGTGAGGAAGCACTGTGTACTAGTGCGATCAACGAAACTCTATCTCCCAGTTATCTCCTTTTGAGGCCAGCCACTCCTTCAGTGTGCGGTTACTTCTATCTGTCAGACCATTCGTTTGTGGATGGTATGGTGTTGTTCTAATATAAGAGGAACTAGAGATTTATTTTTGGACATATTGTTATAGTCCTTAGTTGACACTAGTATTTTCAATATATTGGAATCTCAAGATATTTTGACCTTTCACTGAAAATAATTCTGGAACTTTCTCTCACATTTAATATAAATATACGAACGTACAGCCTAGTTGATGACTTCGTCGAAAAGAAAAAGAGAAATTGTTGGGTGTATAGAATCTGTGAAAACGTGTATAAGGAAATGAGCAATTAGATGCAATATGATTTGTAATGTATAAGGTATTTGGTAGCCCAAGATTTAAACAGGTTCATACTAGATTATTCGGGAAATTGTCTTGATTGTAGAAAATCATGAGAGGGAAATTTTTGTTTTAATAAGCATATAGAGGTGAGAATCACTCAGGTTTTATATTTAATTTACCTTTCAGCTTCTGTACTGTCTTTTCTGCACTCTACACTGAGGCTGTTAATTTAGGCTTGTTGGTTGTTACGTAAGGACAGACATTTTGTGTATTGTAGGAAAATAAGATTATTGGAAGAAAGTGAATGCTGTGAATCGGAAAAGAAACGTCGAAATTAGTCACGCTGAAGACAAATGAAGGGTTTTTAGTTAAACCCCATGGGGTCCTTCTAACCCACTTATCTCTCACCCAATCTTCTATGACATTGTATCGATTCTCCAATACACATAGACGATTATGTGGATAACAGGCCGTGTGAGTATGTTGTCGTTTTTACACAACAGTTAATATATATATATATCCACTGAAGTCAACTGACATATTCAAATAATAAACATGTAAATCCTTTTTACCTTTGATATCGTTGAGCAATTCTTCGATATGGCTTAATTTTGATGAAGAACGTTGAAATTTAAAAAAACAATGTGGAAAAAATGTATTCCGCAAGACACAACTGTCAAAAAATCAAGAAATTATTGCTACAGTTTCCTTACTTGAATTGTGCGGACAATAACTGGAGCATTTTCTCCCCTGTATGTCACTGCATTGTTGGAATACATAATGCGAATATCATCCAGGAAACTGTGGACTAATATACGGTCTGTAAATATTTTATGTGCATCAAACGGAGGAACTATAGACGTATTTATGAATGCCTGTCACTGTTTGAAAGTATGAATAATACTACATACATTATATGAATCGTCACCGAATTTTGCTTTCTTGGAATGCACCTCTCAAAACTGAAAATCCAGGCACATTTCGAATATCTATATGATGAACTGGAGTCTCCTGTTGCCATTCCTGTTGATCACTTAATTCCTTAAGTGTTGGTTTCTATCCCTGATAGAGTAATGAAGACTGCAGAATAGTCCAAAACTAGGTGCTATAAATAATAAAAGTTGGTGGTTTAACTTCAAAAGATACAATGAGCAAAAGGTGATCTATGAGACATGACTGAAATAACTTCATTTTGACAGAATAGCTCACCATAGAATGGAAAGTGAACATCTTCAGTAATTAGCAATAAAATTTCCTCAACTCACTTGGAATAGATATAAAATTAGCCTCTCAACCTTTAAGGTCATTTTTGACAATGTACTAATATATTTGTAAGCAGATGGATAACGTTGGAGGAAAAAAGATACCTTTAAGGTTATACTAAGATCAGTATTGCTCATGAAATACTGAAAGGGCTCACATATAGGATATGTTCCAATAAGTTTTTGTAATAGCTGCATTATTTCACAAAGCAACTGTGCTAGTTTGTGATGTGATGGACGAGTGTGTCATTTAAACTTTGGGTTTTTAAGGCACTTTTGACTTGTGTGTTTTTATGTGTCCACATTATTTTGCAGCATCTAATCCACTTATCAAATGATGGGGATCAGGTTACAGAAAGTAGAGCAATAATAGAAAAATTAGATCAAAAAGATTTTACAAACTATACTGTCAGTCTAAGAAAGTAGGCTTAGTATCCACAAAGTAGGAAGATGAAATCTATTACTGAGGCACATGAAAATGTAAATAAACACATTAAGTAGAAACAGAGAAGTGTGGACTTCACTGAGCCGTAATGGAAAATCAGCTATGCCGTTTCAATATCGTTCCAATAACACGAATTTACTTGAATGTTAAACGATCTGAGTAAACATTACACTAAAAATCAATAAAACTATACAAAACAGACAAGCATAGAGAGGAGTTCTACCTACTTCACTTAAATAATAGCTAAGAAAATCTACCTGGTATGTAATTCGCGTACTTTATAGTCCATACGCTTATTATGTGAGTGAGAAGGTGAAAATGTATTTCATCTTCAGATCCTGTATCAGTTGTGGATATAATGCGTGGATGCTCTTAAATGATTTACTTTATCTTCTGAACTCTCTATACACCACAATCTCTACACTACAATACAAATTTTGAAGTGTGTAACAACTAATCATGAGCATAGAAGTGCGTTATATGCACTAAGATAGACGACCTCTAAGTGTTTCAGCATTGATGTTACCTTCAGATGGCATACTCATAATTAATCTTTTCCATGGAATTATGATTTGGCTGATAGAGACCTGATTCTTAGTGTTGCTTTCAGTAAACCTCCACTTTTCAAGAGCACTAACCAAACACTAAGAGAACATTTCAGAAATCTGCAGCGTGAGCAATGGACAAGGTGATCTATTTCCGCCAATAGGTAGTGAACTGTAAAATGAATGGATTGGCATATCCATATTTATGAGATTTCGGAAGGCAATAGGTAAGAGAAAAAGTTGAAGGGGTGGTTTTACTACGTTCAAACATATGAAGATTAATAAATGATTCTTCTTCCAATGTCCTCAGAATTTCACACACTTCATACTAAATACTCTCAATTTCACCTTTCTGATCATCTGATGTGAGCATTTCATCTTTTGTAAACAAATATAGGTAACAGTGAAGAAAATTTCCTTTTGAACAAGTCATTTTCAAGAGGTGTAGATTTGTATTTGTATTTAACAAATAATTCGTAAAAACAACCGGATACTGGTGGAGATTAGAAATAAGAGACGCAAAATGGTATATAATTTTTTTATTCCTTCACGTTCCCAGTGGAAGGGAGTTATTTCTTTGTAACTTTTTAGTTTTGAACCTTAGCTGTTTTAAGGCCGCAAAATATGAATACTTTGAGATAAGGCTGAACATTTTAGAGTATATTACTGCTTCAAATGTGTTTTTATTGTTTATATTCAATAATAATGGAAATGCGGCTAACTTCATTTACCTTAAAGAATAGTGGGTGCTCTAACTTCCAGTCTTAATAATTCCTATTCATGGATTTAGATTTATATATTTTTCAACATGGTTCTTCTCCATTTGAAGTTAACAATGAAGTGTTAAAACTGCAGTAAGGAAATTCGCATTTACGACGAATTTTTCCGGTCAAATTTAAATTCCGAATAATGTGGTTCAGATACTACAGATTAGCCCCATTTAACATTACTCTTTCTTCTGTGAGTAATAGATTGCTGCATAGACATCAAAAATGGGACATTTACAACCATCGAATTTGGTTTCCGTAGTGACCAAATCCATCACCCATTCCTCCTTGACCCCGACCTGGGACATCCCCATTCATGTGGTTGTGACCCCAGCCGCCTCCGTAACCACCACCACCTCCGCCATTCGCACCATATCCACCATAAGGACCACCTCCGTAAGATCCTCCATAGCCTCCTTCGTATCCGCCGTAGCCACCACCACCCATTGGGCCATAGACACCGCCACCATAGTTGTTATTATAGTCATTCCTGGACTCCTGCTTCCTTTTCATTGTACTGATTTGCTCTTTACTGAGGGCTTTCTTGACATCTGCTCTGCTGGAGCCTATGTGATGGGGCTTGTACAAGATAGCCTTGTCAACAGGGTCGTAGTCATCGAACGTGACGAAACCGAAACCACGTGACTCGCCTGTTTCCTTCCAGGAAACCACTTCACACTCGGTGATATTGCCATACTTGCTGAAGTATTCACGCAGTTCCTCTTGAGTTACATCCTTCTTCAAGCCGCCAACGAAGAGTTTAGTCACCGTCATGTGAGACTCAGGACTGTTGGAATCTTCACGTGGCATCGCTCGTTTAGCCTCTACTGTCTTGCCAGTTTCAGTTATTACCAATAATAACATTTTATTCTTAAACTATCACCAGCTTCTTCCCGAGCATTCTCTAAAAATAATACCGACTAATCTTTTTACAATGAATGCGTCTAAATCTGTATCATTTGGGGATTCGGTTTATGCAGTAATGGAGATCTGTATCTCAGATTGATGCCCTAAGTATTAATGCAATCTCTCATGTGGATAATTTGGATGCAAAGCTATTGTATTAGAAGGACAACGAGGTCTTTGCAAAACACAAGCCAAATGAGTGCCTCATTTTGATTATAGCGAATAACTGCGCGACTGATGTTATATGTGTTGGACACATAACTGTGCTTCTCAGTGTATGGAGTTAGTGAATTAATTACGATCTAGAGAGGGTATACGCTTTTAGTTAGAGTTTAGTAAACGCAACGCTAATAAAAGTATATAACAGAAATAGATGAGCAGCAGTCTAAACCGGACAGTATTTCTCTAAGCCTTTTCCAAACTTGACACCATAAAAGTGTGTGTAAGCAATCACGCACATACTGTTTCATTGATCTTCTCATGTTAGATGATTTATTTTCTGTTATTCATACTAGTAATTTATGCCTGTTTGGGTATTTAATGAGAGAAATAACTCATGTTTTGCATACTGTTTGAATTAATTCACTCAACCTAATAATTAATGGTTGCCTATTAGGTGAAACACGAAGATTATGATTCTTTTGAAAACCCCTCTACATTTCTGTTCGCAAATATCAGCGTAGATATCAATGAAAAGACGCAAACCGATTGATCGCACTCATATGCTGACTCACTCCATATGCCTTGGAGGATCTGGACTTCACCGATGATATATGTCTGATTTCCCACAAACTGGAAGATATGCAAGCGAAAAGCAACAAGTTGGCAGAAGAAGCATCCAGAGAAGATAGGACTTCCTTCAGGTGAACATAGAGAAAACAGAGGTGATGAAGATTCCTGGGCAACACCACCAACAGCAACAACAACAACAACAAAGACAACAATCAGCATAAATGGGAGGAACCTGAAAGAAACAACCTATTTTACCTACCTGGGAAGCATCGTTTCAACTACAGGCGAACGGAACTGACGAGGATATCAAAGCAAGAATTGGGAAAGCAAGACAAGCTTTCACTACTCTCAAGTCTGTGTGGAGGTCAACAACACTCAGCATCAAAAATAAGATCTGGATTTTCAACTCCAATGTGAAGTCAGTGCTACTTACTATACGGATCAGAGACTTGCACTGAGCGTCATAAAGAGCATCTCAAACAAACTACAGACCTTCATTAACAGTTGTCTCCGCTCAATACTCAAGATCAAATGGCCGGCCGGCCAGAAAAGATCAGCAACAGAGATCTCTGGCAATGAGCGAACCAACCCAGCAGGAACTGATTGTGAAACAAATAGGCAGGAAGAAATGGAGATGGATTGGCTGGTCATACTCTGAGGAAACCATCAAGTGAGTGACATCACTAGACAAGCCATTGCTCGAGTGGAACCCGAAAGGGAAGCGGCGAGTTGGTCGTCAGTGCGAAGGTGGGGTGACTTGGAGGAGGTCATGTGAAGAGGAGATGAAAGCGTGTGGGCAGACTTGGAGCCAGGTGAAGACTCTAGCAGAGAACCGAACGCAATGGAGACGCACGGCTGAAGCCCTATGTTCCTCTAGGAATTAAAGGAAACAATAATATAATAATAATATACTCCATATGCCTTGCACAATACAGATTAGTTGACATTCTATTTCATCACAAGCTTTATCGCATGAATTGCTTCATGCTTATGGTGTGCTGATATCAGTATAATTGTCATCATGAAATTAATCAGTTTAGAAACCCACTAAGTATTCCCCTTTCAAATAATTATATCTGTAGTAAATATCATACAGATGATTGTTATACACTCCATTCAACTTCGATGCATTTGCCTCCGTTGTTTGTCAAACTTCACCTATATTATGTACATCCAGCATCTGATTTTCGGGATGCACGACATGTAATTATATTTCAAATTACTATAAGAAACTGGAAGAGCTAAAAGATTACCTCATATTTCCAGTTTTATTAGGAGGCTGTCTTTTAACGCCAAGATGTTAAGAGTTACATGAAGATGTGAATTCAAGAACTTAGAGAGATTAATCGACTTGTTGTGTTACGAATCATCTAGCTAGCAAAAATGATATTATTACTATTGAAGTCTGAAAACTAATAATATTTTTGGGATATTACTGATAGCTTTCAGTGATTGATGTATATTACGGTGTGTTGAGAATTGTTTCCAGAAATAACAATGAGAACCAGTAGTAGATAATAACTCTAAAATGATGAACACTTCATGTTTCTTCCGCTCCAAGTAAGGCTAACCCAGTGAATATTCAACGAATGTGTACGTGTAGACCTACTGATATGATCATTGAATGAAGCTAATATGTTTGAGTGGAATTGCACCATCAGTCTACTTTCGACAACCTTCTGATAACCCTTCAAACCAACACTTGAATATCAATGAGATGCTCACTAGCGACTTGCCCTATTCAGGAAGGTAGTTACCTGGGGTTCTAGTGAGAAGTCGTGACCAGTAGGGTGCAGCAGGTCGGGTGTGAGGACAAATGCTCGCCGAAGACATTGGCTAGGGGTCGCGCTATGTCGTGAATTGGCAGAAGTTAGAATTCATGGGCCATTGGATCGGGTCCAAGTGGCTTAATGGTATACGAGCTCGCCTTGTAACCAGGAGGTCCTGGGTTCGAATCCCGGTGGGTGCATACTGCCGAAGAGTCCCAGACTAGGACGAAACAGATGTCCAATACTCCCAGGTTTTCCAATGGTTCTCTAACTAATATCAGCTCATGATGAAAATCCTGTAACCAATCAAATCCCTACAAACCAACACTTGAACCTTCTGATAAATTACTTCATCGTAACTTCAGAGATGTCATCTTTATTAATAACATGTTACCATTCGACTTGGATACAATTGATCAGTAATGAAATCCATGTGTCAAAACATAGAAAATGGATCAGGTAGAGTTCCAATCAATTAGTGTGACTATAGAACTGAAATGATCTACAATGATCTCTCAATATTAGAAAAATTCGAAGTAAAATGCCATTTAATCTGACTAAATTCCATAGAGTGGGTATCATGAATGAAGAGGAATTCTAAATGCAACATTCCAAATGATTTTGTGTTATCTAGGACACACATGAAGATGGCATTTTGTTACACTGAATTCTCCTAATGAATAACTAGCTTAAAAGTTAAACCCATTGCACAATGAATTATATATGGTCTGTTTGAAAAATGCTTTTTGATCCTTCGATGTCGGCTCTTCCTATCATTGTGAAGCAGAATTCACCAAGCGTTGGATTGTTCACCTACTAATAGGGAACGTGAGCTGGGTTTAAACCGTCGTGAGACAGATTAGTTTTACCCTAGTGATGAGTACACTAATCAGTGAAGTACAATCTGGCCGTTGCTATGGTAATCCTGTTTAGTGCGAGAGGAACCGCAGGTTCAGACAATTGGTATATGTGCCTGGTCGAAAGGCCAGTGGTGCGAAGCTACCATCTGAGGGATTAAGACTGAACGCCTCTAAGTCTGAATCCCGTCCATATTTGCAACGGTACATTCCGTATCTGACACGTGGCTGGGCAAGCTTACGTATTCCTTTTGGTGTCTGGACTGGACCATGTGTTCGGCTAGGCCCATTAGGTCTGGTGTTACGCCAGAGCGATGACCATAAACTATGCTCCGGATTTCGGGGTATAGGGGTCGACACGATATCTAATTGTGTTATGAGCATGAGGATACTAAATCGTTTGTAGACGACTTAATGTTTTGTCGGGGAGACGTAAGTGCTCGAGCAGCTATCACACTGCGAGGCATTGAGTCTTATCCCTGCTTGACGCAATGATTTGAAAATGCATATGTCTTGTTAACATATATATAGGAGGGCAAGAAAATGTACCGTTATGATATTAGCTCCCCTTTACAAAGTAATGTAGAAGAGGGATGGTTTTGAATTTGAAGAAAGAGTCAGAATTGTAAATGTTAACGATTAATCCATAATGTCATTTGATAAATCTTCCTTATTCCCTAATATACAGCCGACAGAAACAGTGAGTTTTAGACGAAACGTTAATTTGGGTATTTGTATATTAGTTATGAAGGAGCTTATTTCAAGATGTACAATGAATACTCATTTCTTGTTTAATAAAGAATTTTATAGACAAACAGATGGTGTGACTGTGTGATCACTATTAGGACCAGTCTTAGCTGATATTTTCCTGGAAAAACTATAGAGTGGATATTCGGGAGATGTAATTAGTGGACTAGAATTTTATATTCCTTACATAGAAGATTCGTTTTTGATTATGAAAAATGAGAATGAAGGAGTGAACACCCTTGACAAATTCACTTATGTGCTTTGTGAAATGAATTTTACTATTCAGAAAGAAAGAAATGATAAGAAGGGGTTTAAGTACTAAACTTACATCAACAGGTTACGATACTGGTTTTTAAGTTTTCACCTTTGAAATATAAATAAAATTTTCAACAGTTAGTTTGTAAGGATTAGATTTGTTTTTACGAGTTTGACCGTGGATTGATATCAGTCAGAGAACCACTGGAAGACCAGGAAGTACTGGACAGCTGTTTCATCCTAGTTTGGAAATCATTGGCAGTACGCACCCACCCTGGGTTTGAACCCAGCTTGATATCAATAAAGCACTCAAAGTTATTTATTATTTCTGAGTAATTTTAATTTTGCCTCACGTTCTTCCTCTAAACACACCTGAATCCGCCGCTAGAATCCTTGACTAACGTTACATGGATGTTAAAAACTGATGATTGCAGTCTAAATTGACCACTTTTGATACTCCATCGGCAATATTTGGATACTTACACTAGAGTATAATTTCACATTACTTGATATAACCCACAATGATACCGTATAAACAAATGCACCACTTATTATTTGTACGGCTGTCTACAGCTTCTATGCATAAAAAAATATGCAA